AGAAAAAAAAATACTGTATTTCTAAATTATGGCACATCTATACAGTAAAATGTTGGGAATTTATTAGAAATTAAGTGTACAAAGAACTTTTAATGATATAGGGGAATGCTTGTAAGAAGAAAGCAGCATGGTTAAACACCTATACATATTATTATGATCTCAACTAGGTAAAATAAGTATAGGCTATCATGAACCAGTGATATAGGTGTTAACAGTAGTTATGGTAAACTGTGATTTTTACTTCTGTTTTTATCCTGTTTTGTTTTCGTAAATTTTTCTATTATAAGCATGTATTATATTACAGTCAGATAAATAGGATATTGTTTTGTTATATATATCGATTTATATCTATATAGAGATTTGTCCTAATAAGACAAATACCATTAAGGAGTCAAAACCTGTTGAACGGGATCATGCTAAATTCCTGGCAAGGCTTGGTTAGTTTATGAGTCAATCCTCAGATGTCCCATTTGTAAACTGGCAACAATATAAAACAACTAGAATGTATGATACACTACTACACAAGTCTTATTCTGCTTAGTCATGCTAATGACTCATCCCTTCTCTTTGTTTTCTCAAATGTTCTCCTTCCCTTATAATTTTACTCAAGGCAGAATATATGCTACAAATATATAATTTTTTTCATTTCAGCTTTTATTTTAGATACAGGTGGTACATGCGTAGGATTGTTCATGGGCATACTGGACCCAAGTAGTGAGCACAGTACTCTATAGGTAGGTTTTCCACCCACATTCTGCTCCTGGCCTCCCCACTCCAGTAGTCAGCAGTATCTGCTGTTCCCATGTCCATGTGTGTTCAATGCTTAGCTCCCACTTCTAAGTGAGAACATGCAGCATTTGGTTTTACATATACATAATTTTTGACCATATATTTTGAAAAATTTTTAAATAATGTTCCAAGTAATTTTTAGGGATACCAAAATGGCTTAATTTTACTTTTTTTTTTTTTTTTGAGACAGGGTCTCGCTCTGTTGCGCAGGCTGGAGTGCAGTGGCACGATCTCGGCTCACTCCAACCTCCACCTCCTGGGCTCAAGTGATCCTTCCACCTCAGCCTACAGAGCGGCTGGGACTACAGGCATGTACCACCACGCCAATTTTTTGGGTTTTTTTGCAGAGACAGGGTTTCGCCACATTGCCGAGGCTGGTGTCAAACTCCTGAGCTCAAGTGATGTGCTCACCTCGGCCTCCCAAAGTGCCGGAATTACAGGCATGAGCCATCATGCCCAGCCTGGCTTTATTTTACATTTCAACTTCTTTTAAAACATCAGGAAAGAAGTCTGTGTATCAAGAGTTACTTATATAAATTTACACACTAAGAGATTTGTATGTATAATTGTGTGTACACATTTCTAGTATTTTCCTGATTTAAAAAAATTATTCCTATATAAGAAATCACAAAGGATACACTGCAACCACAATCTGGAACTATCTGCTTCTCTGCTTTGCTTCTGTTTCCCCAGACGATTTATCAAAGTACTGATATGAACTGGCAAGACGACCACATTAGAAAACCATCAAGACGAAAGATACGTTTTAGAAGTATCATGGAAGCAAATATGAGCACCTATAGTATCTACTGTGCAAATCTATCAGCATAAACCTTTTAATTTGATAGGCCAAAAATAGTACTAGCAACAGGCAGGTGGCTATAACAACTAACATCTAGTTTTTACTTTGTGCTAGGTACTGCATGCATTTCTTCATATTGTCTTCAAGGTACCACATAAAGGATGGTTAAGAGCAGAGGTTCTGGAGACAGGCTGTCTAGGTTCAGATCCTGGCTCTGCAACTTTTACCAATGTGACTTTTAGTAAGTAATTTAATTTGTGTGAGTCTCATCTGTAAACTGAAATGACAGTAGTATCCATGCACTAAGGTGGTAGTGAGGATTAAATAATGTGCAAAGTACTTAACCCGGTGTTTAGGGCACAGGAAGTAAATAATAAACACTAATGATGATGATTATTACTTGTGGGTGTTCTACTCTGAGCTTCCAGTGTTTAGTTTCCATTCATGAAAAGAAATTCTTATATCCATTAAAAATGTTGATTTCTTTTGGCCTGGGAGAAAGAATTGGGGTGAGAAGAGTCTTACACAGAACATTTTGCAAAGGGTGAAACATTAACATTCAGACAGCAGCTGGTATGCAGGTACACTAATTAGTTTGGCCAAAGGGTCCAAGGTTATTGATCTCAGTGACAGAACCCTACTGAATAGAGGTTTCCATAGTGATAGACTTAGCAATCACAGACCATGAAATCTACAATGTCTTCATAGATTTCTATTGAGCCAATCCACTTTTAGTGAAAAATATTGTGATTCTCTTGAGATGTATGATAAAATCCCTGATGGGACACCACTTGATAATCTTTTATTAAACAGAGGTGGGGGGAAGCCCTCCTCAAAGTGAACGAAAACCAAAACACCCAACCTAGGAGGGCAAATGAACTATTACTTTTCAAATTTAACCAAAGGGTTTTTTTTTTTAAACTAAAACAATACTGTGCAGAGAATCTGGAAGGATGTTGTGTTGCACTATTAGCATTTATATCTTCTTTCAATAATGAGAAATTTTAAAAGAGGAAGAGCTTTTTAGGGAGAAGAGATATTTTGAATGAGTAAACAAATAATTCCAAATAATGTATTACATATTTAATTACCCTGATGCATCCACTCTTAATTTCTTGAAAGCAGTCTGTAGACTCTCCTCCTCTCCATCCTTGGCTTCGGATTTCATTGTGCAAGTTTTTACACTACTTATCGATGTTCCTGTTAACACTAAAAAAGAAAATAAAGTGAGCAAAGTAAAAACAGATGGGATCAAAAGTATACCTTTTTTTAAGATTTTACATTCCTGTTACCTTTACTGTTAGAAAAAAAAAAGCAAATTTTTATTTCAAAAAGGAAGTTTCAGTGTAGATAACTGGAGACTATAGGTTTTCTTAAGGGAAAACAAATGAAATGATACCAAAAATGGATATGTACTATGACAGAATATAAACTGTTCACATACTTGATGCCAATATCCTATTACACAATTTTGGAAACTAGATGATCTGAAATCTATGTTTCAGTATACATACTTTTTAACATGGGAATCTCCCCAGTTGGTCTAGAAATCTATGAACAAAATGACATCAGAAATAAAAGGGAATAGCTCAAATTATAGCACTCTGATTCTTTAAAATGACACTGAGTATTTGTCTGGCCTAACCCTAGTTAAGTATAACTTTCATGACACATGATAGCATTTCTCTAGAGCAATCCTGACCCAGACAGCTATGTTCAGGAAGATACGTTTTACAGAACAAGGCGTTACCACTGTGAAAGCAGAATTATAAATACACTCTACCAGTAAGGCTGATACTTCCATTTGTGTTTTTATTCATAGCCTGGAATAATATAATTAATTGTTAAACAAGAAAGAAAATAAATGAACTATATACTTGCAACCCCACAAAAAATTATTGTGCACATGAGTGGAAAAAGAAAAAAAAAAAAAAACTTTTCTTTAGCCTAAAGGTTGAAAGGAAAAAAAATAGAAATGACTATTGTGTAGACGTACCATTAAATGATCTCTTAACTAGTTTGATTAACCAAAGTCCTCCATATTTTCCACCTGATTTTTATATTTTAAACAGAGAAAGGGAGATGAAGAACCAACCAAAGCAACAAGAAACACAATGAAGAAGTCTGTTAAAAAACCCTTGAATCTAGTCTCCAAATTATTTTTTCACTCAGGGTTATTAGTACCAAATCCTGAATAAAAATTAAGCAAACCAGCATCTATGAACATATCAGAGACAATCAGAAAGAAAGAAAGAAAAAAGTACCGAAAAAAACAGAAATAGAGGATATCTGAAGCAAAAGATTCACTTCACCTCTTTATTTCTAAGCTGTTACCCGCCCCCCGCCCCCACCCCACTTAGGCATTCTCAGAGGGAGCAGTGCCTCTCCACCAGGCCTTGGGTCCTCTCTGATTCATATCTGCTCGTTTCTCTCAGGGTGGCTCTGAAGTTATTGTGAGACCTCTAATATTCCAAAGGTCAAGGTGTCATCATGTTTCATATAATGTAACCATTACATTATTGTAGTACCAGCGCAAAATAAAAAGGCAAGGAATCAGGACTTTTCACTTTATTTATTTATTTATTTGCAGAAGTTAAGATATTTTAGGCAGAGCTCTCTGGGGAACACTGAAAACAGTCTCAAAAGAATTCAGCTACTTAAAAAAAAAAAAAAAAAAAATAATTCAGCCAGCCTGCACTTCAACTTCTTAGGACAAAAAAAAAAAAAAAAAAAAAAAAAAAAAAAAATTAAATACATTCTCCACGTATATTTTGCTGGTATTTAAGTACATAAACATGAAGAAACATTATCCACACAATCCCATGCTTCACTAGTCTCTAATTCTCAATTTAGGGTAGGATCCCCCCAAATACACAATCAATTCCTATATACCTGGGGGGAGAGGTGAGCAGTCACTTATTTCAGTATTTTCAAAGCTTCACATCATCTAAAAGAGTACTACTGTAGGTTGTAAACAAATTCTTCCTGCTGGTAGAACTAAATTGAAGTTTGACTTATAGTGTTCCTCAATTACCTTATGATCCGTTAGTCAATGTTCAGCCCTTACCGAGTTAATAAATCATCTGAGCCAGTCTCCCCAACCCGCAGACCCCACACAAGTCCTCTTTCGCCCTCTCTGGAAATTAGTCAGCATTTATGTACATGTCACATTTAAGTATACACTACTGAACCCTACAGGCAGAAATTCATTTCGTTCACAAATATTTACAGAATACCTACCACGTGCATGGCACTAGAATGAATGCTAGGGATAGAAGCCTAAACTCCATTTCTGTAAGGACTAGAAGAATCTCATTCCTGCCCTCCAAGAGCTTACAATATAACACTGTGCTAAGAGGCTCTGAACCCACATATGTAACTTTTAATTATACTATGCTGACTTAATAGCATGGCAGGTGATCACCCTAGATGTTAATACAAACTTTACATTCCTGTTGACACACTAAAAGATCTATCATCTAAAAACCAAAACAGGCCAGAATTAAAATCTGACTACAGATTACAACTTCAGGAATGAAGTTCTGTCTAAATGATTTTCAGACTTCCAGCATTTTTAACTACTCACCTTTTTTCTCAGTTATTTTAGCCAAAAGCAAAGGTGAGCGTTAGGCATGACCTTAAGGGCCAGAGAAGAGCATCTCTGTAATTATAAAAGGCTCATTAAGCTCCTCTGCATCCCCAGATCCCCATTCACTCAAAGAAAGGGCTGTACAACTAACTCCGGACAACAGATACAATTAGCTTGCCCTTCTTCATTAATACCAAATTTGTGGGAGGCGGTCTTGGCGTTTTAACTGCAGTGAACTCTTGAACAACATCCAAAGAGATGAAACTTTAAAAAGCCTATTCGAAGTTACTTCATGTTAAGTCAAATCAAACCGGGCAATTTAACTTTGCCTCGGATTTTCCACAACCTTACAAAAATTACAGTTATTCTAAGTTCCTCCATCAAAAGGACGAATTCCTGGTTTTCTCTTTCAACGAAATGGATGCGTCACAATCTTACTTCTATCTTGCCGTTTTAACCAAGACCTCATTGAACCTCAAGTCTAGGTCTACATTTCCACGCCCGAGAAGACCTAAGAACGATCAAGAAGGGATGGCGCGGGTAAGCGTTGTTATCACAACGTTAAAGATTTCGAAACTCCCAGACCACCAGGAAGCGTAGAGTATGGGGTAGAAAACCCTGTCCAGCAACTCGAAGAGGCAAACTAGACCGGGAGGAAACAATCGGTCCCCAGGACAAAAAGCACATTCACACCTCTCCGTGCAACCCACTCATCCCTTTACACTCGCAGTGCTGCAGCCAAACCACGAAGTTCTTTCTTTTCACCCAGAGTCTGTGCCTGTCGCGGTTAAACACAAACGGAGAAAATTCCTGGTCAGAACCCAGAGGGGTAGGAAGTGGCTTGAGGTGTGAGGACAACGCCGAGGAGGGAGCTGTCCAGGGGCTCTGCCCGCCCGGGGTCTCCAGCTGGAAAGTTGCGCTCCTCGGGAGATTCCCGGGGTCAGAACGAGAGGCTGGAGTTGGAGCGAGGCACCAGGGATGCGGAAGAAGAAAGGAGTGGGGCCGAAGAGGTAGCCAACGAGAATGGGGCTCCGAGGCGAGAGGGAAAGGGCGGGAAGGGGCAAAGGGCGGCCAAGGAGGACGAAAAGGGGAAGCTGTCGCTGGGCGGGAGACAGCGGAGGAGCGGGACGGGGCGGGGTCCGCGGGAGAACAGGAAGGCGGGAAGGGGAGAGAGCGCGGAGTCGGAGCTCCAGCAGGCACAGGCCGCGGCGGATAAGGGGGCGCGGAGAGGCCCAGGCCCGGCCCAGGCAGGAGGCGTCGGGAGACGACGCGACCCAAGGCGGGCGGGCCCGGGAAAAACCGCCCGCGGCCAGACCGGCTGTGCAGGCCGAGACGCTATGCTGCGGCCCCTCCCCGTCACGTCAGGGCACTTACCGCCTCGCAGCTGGGGCGCTCCGGTGATGCGGTGCAGTCAGTTCAGAGCGTCTCTCCCGAATCTCGGCGCCCGACTGACCCGGATCCAAACCAGCCAAAGGGGCGGCCCGCGCCTCGGGAGTCGCATTGCGCCTGCGCACTCCGGCATGCACCCCGCCCCCTACCCATGCTCCTCCCACCCCGGTGACTCGGCAGCGCGGCAGGGGACGGCTGCGCAGGCGCAGGGCGGGGGCCGCGCCTCTCGAACGCCCCGCACCCGCCCCCCTCGGAAGCACGTGCGCCTTACGTAATTTCCTGTTATTCTTCGGTCTGCCTCCTCCCAGTGGCGTGGATTTCCTCCCGAGCAGCTTTTGGGGCGTGCCTGCTTCCTCCTCTCTGTCAGGTGAGTGAATAGGTGTCATTCTTCGCAGTCGTTCTCTGCCTCCACCGCCCCGGCATCTCCTTGTGCTTGGTCCTCTACCTGGAGTCACCTATGCAGCGGAATTCCGCGGGGCGGGGGCGAGGACGTGCGGGGGTCTTTATGGCAGCCAATCCCCGGCTGAGCGCTTGGCCAGAGTTTCTGTGATGCTAGAATCTGGACTGCCTGCGACCTCTCCAGGACTCGGACACCAACCCTCGCCTCCTGGTGATCTTTCAGGACCTGCAGAGAAGCGAAGAGGTATTGGACGTGGCCAGGGTCAATAGTGTGAAGCCAGAATTAGAATTGAATTGAAATGCCTCGGTTTTGATATCGCTGTGTTTGTCTTGAGGCAACTGCTTTTCCTCCTCTGGGCCTCTCAGTTTTCCATCCAGTAAGTAAAGAAGTTGAACCTTATCGGTGAATTTCATGTTTTCAGGCGTAGACTCCTTTGAGAATCTGGTAAGAACTGTAGACCCTCTTGCCAAAGAAATGCACCTACACACCAAATTTGGCAAAAAGATTTAGGCAGTTCACCAAAGGAGATGAATTTTAGGGTTCTTTACATTTTTCTGATTCTGAATGTTGCTCAGATGGCAGGCGGGAAAAGGTGATCTGTGCAACAGCTGCCACCTGCTTCATCACCAGGACTGGTTCTGCTAATCTAGCTGTGCCTCTCCTCGCCTGGCAGTCTCCAGCTCCACGTCTGCACTTCTCAAAGCTTCATGAGAACAGATGATTTTGCTCAATAGAGTTGGCTGGTGTTGATTGTGGCCCACCCCTAGAGTGAGGGTTTTTCCCTGAACCAAAACTGGCCCCATCCACCCTCATTCCCCAATACCTTAGTTGTAGTCAACTGACTAGATAGGCTGCCGAAGATGGTTTAACTGTGTCCAGCTTAACTACAGCCAGTCTTTGGAATGCCTGGCCTATATTCGTAAATGAAATCTAACAATTTATTGTATAACGTTGTTAAACATAAAGCATGAAGTTAGCCTTGGGTAAAACATTTTAAATTCTCGTCGTTCATACCAGAGGTTCAGTAACTGACGGGATGAAAGAAAACTGTTCATTGTAACCTAATGATGCTAATTAGATAGGGTTAGAGTATATTAGAGATTAGATAACTTGTTCTAGCTGGCTTTGTCCTTTGTCTCACAGTGCTGGTAAGTCAGGATTTAAACTGCCCTTCTCAACATCTCTTGGAAAAGAAAAAGCGGGAAATATGATGCATTTTTGTTTCTCAGACCTTGCCAAGTGAAATGTATCAAGACCAAATACATCTTTTTAAGCTGCCACTTCAAAATATAACTTCAGATAAAATCTCATATATCCTTGAGAAGGCCGGGCACGGTGGCTCACACCTGTAATCCCAGCACTTTGGGAGGCCGAGGCGGATGGATCACTTGAGGTCAGGAGTTTGAGACCAGCCTGGCCAACATGGCGAAACCCCGTCTCTACTGAAAATACAAAAAGTTAGCCGGGCGTGGTGGCACATGCACCTGCAATCCCAGCTACTCAGGAGGCTGAAACAGGAGAATCTCTTGAAGCCGGGAGGCAGAGGTTGCAGTGAGCCGGAGATTGCGCCACTGCACTCCAGCCTGGGCCAACAAAGCAAAACTGTCAAAAAAAAAAAAAAAAAAAAAAATCTCATATATCCTTGAGGGGAAAGAATTGTCTGAATCCTGATTGAGTTCCCAGAGCTTAGCACAGTTCCTGGGGGTTAGTAGGTACTAAATACAGTTTTGATGAATTCTCATTTTACCTGCTTTCCATCCCTAATTATATTAAATACTAAAAACTAAAAAGTTACAATATTTCATTTTGTGTAAGCACATCTCCATCATAAAGCGTTAGATGCTTTCCAAGAATGTGACTCATTACTCAGGGAGTACTTGGAAGATGAGAACCTCTTGTGAATACCGAAGCCTGTTAACTCACACACCTGACGTGGCCGGAGGTTCTAAGTCATTATAGATAGGACTGGCTCACGGTGTGGTACATCATGACTTGGAATGAGATAGAAAAGCAACAAAATGGGGTGGATCTGAGTGAACAAAAAGCCAGATCAGTGTCCTATACCAGCAATTCCGGGTCTTTTTAACCATGGGAAAAAAGCCTGAATTTGTGTGTGGACTTTATATTCAAGAAATCAACTTTGTATTAATGCACATGGTAATGCCATTTAATTAAAAAGCTGTGGTAGATGTAAAATTCCTCTAACAGTGCTTCCTTCTTGTTACAAGTGTCTTGTACATACTTTAGTAGGAGAGACTTAATTCCATGAATTTGTACTGCAAGAACAATTTATATAGGAAGATAATAGTTTCGCTTAAAAAATAACTTTGGAGAAGCCAAGTTCAAAGTAATAAAGAAAATTATTTCCCTAACAATGTGACTGCCATCCTACCAGTTGGTAATCTGGAAAATATTCTGTTCTTATGTTTTAAGACTCAAATTAATTTATTTCTTACCTGGATATACTTTTCTTAATGACTTGGGGTAGGCCAGGCATGGTGGCTCACGCCTGTAATCTCAGCACTTTGGGAGGCTGAGGCGGGTGGATCACTTGAAGTCAAGAGTTCGAGACCAGCCAGGCTAACATGGTGAAACCCCATCTCTCCTAAAAAAATAAATAAATAAAAATACAAAAATTAGCCGGGAGTGGTAGCGCATGCCTGTAACCCTGGCTACTCTGGAGGCTGAGGCATGAGAAGCACTTGAACCCAGGAGGTAGAGGTTGCAGTGAGCCGAGATCATGCCATGGCACTCCAGCCTGGGCTACAGAGCAAGACCCTGTCTCAAAAAATTAATTAATTAATTAATTAATCAATTAAAATGAAAATGAAAATGACTTTGGGATAGAAGGTAGTGATAATGATTGTTTGTCTTGATTACAAGTTGTTAGCTCATGTAATCTTCATAACCAATTTGTGAAATGTACTTTTATGATGTCTGTTTTATAGCTGAGGAAACTAGGCTCAGAATAGTTAGATAACTTGTCCAAGGTTACATAGCTTGTAAGTGGCAGAACGGGGATTCCAATCTAGGCAGTCTGGCTATCCACCCTGCTGATAGCTGAGTTACGCTGCTTTTCTTAGCCTCCCCACCTTTACCTCCTGTAGTTGGTACCCAGCTAGACCAGGGATACCTGCTTTCACCTGGAAAATACCACTGGGCTTGAGGAAATTGGCTGCCCAGGGCCTAGGACTATTCCAGCCACACTTTCTTTGCATGTGTTTGAACCCAGCAGGCATATTTCCCTCTCAGATCTCAGATCTTTTGTATGTGATGTTTCCCCTCCTGGAGCATTGTTTACCCACAGTTCATCTCGTCATTCAAAGTCTCTGCTCATATCAGCTCCGGGGTGGGGGGGTCTTCTTTGGCTTCCCCAGCACCCCCTTCCCTCTGTATCCCTTTACCCTGCTTTATCATAGCGCTTATCACTACCTGACAATGTATAGTTATTCTTTGGTCCCGTCACTAGAATAGAAGCTACCTGAGGACAGGGACTTTGTGTCTTTTTTTTTTTAGTCACTATTTCTGTTGAATCAAAGATGCACATTTTCCCACAATTTATTAATAGCAGTTAGAACATCTGGATGTGTCTTATAATCACCAGTGTGTTCTGGTTTAGTTGGTAGTATTTTTTTTTTCTTTCTTGTACCTACAGTAAGTGGTGAGTCTTTAAAATCATGGTGTCTTGGAATTGATGAAAATACCGTGTATCCCCAGGGCCTGAACTCTATGTGGCACATAGTTGGCGCTCAGTAATTACTTGTTAAAGGAAGGCATTGAGTGTTGTGTGCCAGAAACTATTGAAACTTTTTTTTTTTTTTTTTTTTTTGAGATCTCGCTCTGTCACCCAGACTGGAGTGAAATGGCACGATCTTGGCTCACTGTAACCTCCACCACCCAGGTTCAACTGATTCTCGTGCCTCAGCCTCCTAAGTAGCTGGGATTACAGGTGAGCACCACCATGCTCTGCTAATTTTTTTATTTTTAGTAGCAATTTATATCATTCTAGTAGACTCTTAGAAAGTAGATGGGGAGGGTGGGGAATGTAAGAGAGACCAGTTAGAAGACACTTGAAATAATCTGAGGGAAGACCAGAATGGGAACCATGGCTGAAGGATGGTGAGACCAGCAGGGCTCGGCGGCCTGCTGAGCAGAGATGTCTGGCCTGAGCCAAGCCAGTAGGTGGCCCCCTTCACTAAAGAAGGGAATCCAAGAAGACTAGGTTTGGGGAGTGGGAGGGTTTGGTTTTGAACATACAAGTTTCAAGTGCAGATGAAAGCAGGAATCAGGTCCCAAAGGCTGCAGCAAGGGATTTATCCTAAGGTTTCTCCTTCTAAGAACTGTAGGAGCTATGGAAAGAAATGTCCGGATTTATTTTATCTGGTTTCAGCATGAGCCGGCATGGTGATCCAGGCCCGCGATGATGGTGATCGAAGGGGCAGGTGGCCCTAAGTATGGAGAACAAGTGAGCCGATTGAAAAGTTGTGTAGATCAGGCCTCAGGGAGAGATTGACTACGAACAGGATGGGCAGTCAGAGAAAGCTGACAATGATACTTTGCTTTCCAGCTTGAGCAACTGAATGGATATTGGTGCCCGTCTCAATTAAACTCTGTTGAACCCAGCTGACAGTGAGCAGAGGAAGGACATTTAAATGGAGAATCATAGTAACGCTAATACTTTCTTTTATTCTTTCTTTCTTTACCTTTTTTTTTTTTTTTTTTTTTTTTTTTTTTGAGACGGAGTCTTGCTCTGTTGCCCAGGCTGGAGTGCAGTGGTGCAGTCTTGCTCACTACAACCTCCACTTCCCTAATTCAAATGATTCTCCTGCCTCAGTCACCCACGTGTGCCACCATGCCTGGCGAATTTTTTTTTTTTTTTTTTTTTTTTTTGGTGGAGAAAGGGTTTTGCCATGTTGGCCAGGCTGGTCTTGGACTCCTGGCCTCAAGTGATCTGCCCGCCTCAGCCTCCCACAGTGGTGGGACTGCAGGCTTGAGCTACTGCGCCCAGCATATGAGAACTGATACTTTCATAGCTCTTCCTATGTATCAGAAGACTTATTTTAGTTATCACCACAATCCTATGAGATTACTATTATCACCATCATCTTCCAGATGAGGAAACCGAAGCAAAGAGTAGTAACTCGCCGAGGTCACACAGCTAACAAGTGGTGGAGCTAAAATTTGAACCCAGGCAACCTGGTAGAGTCTGTGTTGTCACTGCCTCTCTGTGCTGATATTTCTCTAAATTAGCTCAGTTTGGACACAGTGAACCTGAGAGATCCGTGGGGCAGCCACGTGGAGGTGTCCAGCAGGCAGGAAGATATATGGTTCTGAAGCTCACATGGGAAATGGGGACTGGAAATAAAGACTGTGGAGTTTGCATACAGGTGGCCATTGAAGCCACAGGAAAGGACAGGACCCTTAAGGAGAGGGTGGGAAATAATCGGAGGAAAGAAACAAGGGAGCCCTAGAAGGCAAACAAGCATTCCACTTGTGGGAAGGACATAGTCCCTTCTGCAAATGAATATGCTGCACCTGGCTTACAGATCTTCAGTCAACAGACAGTCCATCCCCCTGAATTTGTTTGGTTCTGGGTACCCTGACAAAAATGGGGTTCCTGGACCCACAACCCTAAGGACCTGCCTCAGTGGTGGTGATCCTCCCCACTTTCTTCTACCATGAGAGTCCACTGTGGGCCTGTTGGCTTCTCTGGGCATCTGTTTTTTGCCCCTCCCTACAACGGAAGAGCCTCCAGCTCCTCTGTCTACCGCCCGTCGACTTTGTCAGCTCAGGTCCCCTCCCTGTTTCTAGGACCACAGTAACATTTCACCTGGAGCTTCTTCAGGTCCCTCCTGAACTTATTTTCAGCCCTTTATCCAAACATTTCTTGTATCTCCTGCTAGATTCTAAATTTCTGGAGGGCAAGAAGAACCTATTACGTTGACTTTCCCTCCCTCAACCCCTGCTCCCCTGTGTGGGTTAAATGGCCTGATGCCATTGTCCCACGGGACTTCGCATGCAGTCCACCTGAATAGGAGCTGCATTTTGTATCTCTGTACCTAGCACAGGAGCCAGGGAGTCCATCAGTCAGTCAGTCATCTTAGCAAATAATTCCAGTTGTCTACTAGATTTCTAGAAACATGACTGGGGACTGTCGATGCCTTTGACAGTTGATTTGAGCAGCAGGACCTTTCACAACAGCCTCCTGTTGTTGTGGGTGGGGAATAGGCAAGGTTTGGGAAGCGGGCATTCGCTGCTCTTTCTTGTCATTCTCTTCATAGCCCCCAAGCTACTGTGGTCTATTGTTTTGATAGTTGCTTTCCCGAAATGTTAACAGGATGGAGAGTGAAGGAGGAGTCTGTGATACCTCAGCCATGCGCCAGTGTGCCGATTCCCATTCTGCATGGATTTGATTTCCAAGACTCCAGTCAATCCTCAGAGCTCCAGGTAACTGCTGATCACCAGCAGAGGGAGCCCTAGGACCACAGGGCCTCTTTCCTTACCGGTGGTAAAGCCGTTCACTGTGGCTTCAAAACTGTGGAAGACCCTGGATTTGTGGATCACTTGCCTTTAGAATAGAATCAAGAAATAACACTGCAGAAGAATCTCCACATGGTAAGGATTGGGAGTGTTGAGAGGGGCTTCTGGGGTGCAGGTAATGTTCCTTCATCTGATGTTGGTTATAGGAGTGTGTGCTGTAATGTAGTATATGTACATTTTTTTGTGTGTATAACTAAACTTCAATTAAAGTTTTTAAAACTTAAACATTTCTATGTATACAACAAAATAGGTGTCAGGTTAGGGTGAGCTGTTCTTTTCCCTACAATTCTTAACCTTATCTGAGTCACAAGACAGCCCTTCCTCCCTTCCTCTGTGAAAGCCACAAACGACTGGTTAAGGACTTCTGCAGCAGCCGCCGAATAGAGAAAGTGAGCACAGGACATGAACAGATGGTTCACAGCAAAAGAAATACAAATAGCCCTTAAACGTATGAAAAGGTGCTCAGTCTCAATCTTCAAAGAGAAGTGCTTATTGAAAGTATGCGGAGATACCATTTTTAACCTGTCAGATTGGCAGAAATCCCAAAGCTTGACAGCATGCCCTGTGGATGGGGCTGGAGGTGGGGGAGTCGGGAGAATAAATAGCAGACCCTTTAGTACATTACCAGTGGGACTGTGAAATTGACAGCCCTGTTGATTTGGGCAATATCTACCGAAATTACAAGTCTAAGAATCTACCCTGTAGATGACATTTGTACATATATGTAATAATTTAATCTCCAAGTTGTCTTCTTGCTCTGTAAAAGGAAGATTTTGGAAGTTAAGAAAACTTTTTCTGCCTCAACGAAGTCACATTTTAACACTAATGTCTCATGCTGTGGACTCAAGAAAATCTAATTTAAAACAGAGCCAGGCAACGGCTTCCATTGACTGACTGGCTGGAGGGAGCTGCAGGCTAACTAGGAATTAGGAATTAGCCACAACAGAAGTGCATTGGTTTTATCTCAAGAAATATCCTCCTTTACACCTGTCTTGGCAGATGTGCCCACTGCTTGGGTGGCAGGACACTTTGATTGTCTCACCAAGACTGTGTGGAGAGGGGTGGGGTACTTCTCCAAAGGGAAAAGTGGGCTGCTGTCACCCATAAAAGGGGTGGAGGGAAAGGGCAGGTAGAAACAGTCAATGTCTTCCATAGCTCCAGGTCACGTCTGCCTGCTGCTGATACCGCATTCATATCTGCAGCCTGTGTGTCTCCTCGACACCATGCCTCTGTGTCCACTGTCCTCCTAGTCAGTCGCCTACGTGGATGTCCCTCTGACACCTGGTGAAACATGATGTGTTTCTAATTGAGCAGGTTATCTTTCCCTCTAAGCCTGGTCTCCTGGCCTTTCCCCAGTGCCTTCCAATTTAATTGAATCAAATCGAATGTAATTCACCTCCTCCCATCCGTCTGGCTTCTGGGTTAATACCCCCCCAAACTTTGGAAATATTTTAATGTGTTAATATATTATTTTTAAAATAAAAAGTAGTTTTAACAAAAGAAAAATATACCTCTGTAGAAAATTTAGAAAATATAAGGACTCAGGCACCTTATCTTTTTTATCCCCTACTTAGCCCTGGGAGGCAGACAGTATTATTTATCCCCATTTTACAGATGAAGAAACTGAGGCTCAGAGAGGAACGTGGCTTGCTGCTTTCACACAGGTCAGAAGGATCTATGCCGGATTTGAGCCCAGGTCTTTCTGGTTGCAAGCTGGAGGCGGTCTTGTCTTTGGGATACTCAGTTGAGGGGCTTGGCCTTTGCCTCAGAAGGACTCGACTTGGCCCCCTCTTGAGGATGTCCCTTGGCAGCATTTGGTCATGGTGTTGCAGAGTGCCTAGGAGCCACACTTACTCTGAGAAGCCCTGCCTCACACACCCACCCCTCTGTGTGGCCTCGGACACACTGCCCAAGCCTCTGCGCCCAGTTTACTCCTCGGAAAAATGGGGATGATGATAGTAATCATAGGCTTCCCTTAGAGGGCTAGGAGAGAATGGAATGACCAATGTGGTAGAACACTGCCTGGCTCACAGCATCTGATAATGGCTTAGATATTTGTCCCCTCCAAATCTCAGGTCAAAATGTGACCCCCATTGTTGGAGGTGGGGCCTGATGGGAGATGTTTGGGTCTTGGGGGTGGATCCCTCAGGAATGGTGTGGTGCCCTCCCATGGTAATGGGTTCACCCCAGGCCCAGTTGTTAGAAAGAGTCTGGTACCTCCCACCTCCTCTCTCTTGCTTCCCTCTCTGGCTGTGTTATCTGCGCAGGCCAGCTACGCTTCGTGTCCCGCCATGAGTGGAAGCAGCCTGAGAACCTCACTAGAAGCCAAGCAGATGCTGGTGCCATGCAGAACTGTGGTCCAAGCAAACTTCTTTTCTGTCTACATTACCCAGTTTCAGATATTCCTTTATAGCATCACAGAACAGACTAATACAGCATCCAACAACATTAGCCACTGCTACTATTATCATTAGTATTTTAAGTGTGTGCATTTTAACTGCTGGTACACTGTGTGAGCTGGCTTGGATGTCCGTCCCCTCCAAATCTCATGTGGGACTGTAATCTCCAGTGTTGGAGGTGGGGCCTGGTGGGAGGCGTTTGGATCATGGCGGCATATTCCTCATGCTTGGCTGGGCGCCATCCCCGTGGTGATGAGTGAACTAACAGGAGATCTGGTTGTTTAAAGGTGTGCGGCACCTCCCCCCTCTCTTGTTCCTGCTCTTGCCATGTGACACACGGGCTCCCCTTTGCCTTCCACCATGGCTGTAAATTCCCTATGGCCTCACCAGAAGCAGATGCCAGCACCCCACTTCCTGTACAGCTTGCAGAACCAAGAACAAATTAAACCTGTTTTCTTTATAAAGACACAGACTCAGGCATTTATTTATATCAGTGCATGAACAGCCCCATACACTGGGCATACGGGTTATATCCTGCTTTCCTTCCATTTACTATTATGAGCATTTTTATGTCACAATATATTCCTCAAAACATTATTTGAATGACTGTATAATAGTCCATCATTTAAATATATTCATAACTTACTCTGTAGTTAACCATTCACCTGTTTCTGGACAATTAGGGGTGTGTGTGGGTGTTTGTTGTAATAAAAAACTCTAAACCAAAAATCCTTGTCTGATTATTTCTTAGAGTAGAATTTTACACCTGGAACTCCTGGGTGAGAAGGTATAAACGTTTAAAGTCTCCAGCAACACACTGATAATTGCTTCAAAGGAAAGCTCTCAACCGTTTACTCTCAGCAGTGTGTATATTAGGGCTGTCCTCACCACACCCTTTCAGGCAGCCAGGCGAGCTTTTTTTAAAGTTCACCTTTGTTGCTATTTATTTACAAGGCAGGTTTTACTACGTGTCCCTGGGATGGTGGGGGTAGGTCCCATGCCCAAGGTGCTTCCAGCTATGCTGCCTGTTACAATGTTCTTAAATTAGCTAGCAGTCCCATAAGCCCTGGGTGGACATATTTACCTGTTTCCTGCCTGCTCTGTTTTCCTGCGGGTGGAAATATAATTTCAGTGCTGGAAATTTTCTTTTTTTTTTTTTTGAGATGGAGTCTTGCTGTGTTGCCCAGGCTGGAGTGCAGTGGCACCATCTTGGCTCACTACAACCTCCATCTCCTGGGTTCAAGCAAGTCTCCTGCCTCAGCCCCCCGAGTGGCTGGGATTACAGGTTCACACAACCATGTCCAGCTAATCTTTTTTGTACTTTTTGTAGAGACAGGGTTTCACTGTGTTGGCCAGGCTGGTATCAAACTCCTGACCTCAAGTGATCCACCCGCCTCGGCCTCCCAAAGTGTTGGGATTACAGGTGTGAGCCACTGTGCCTGGCCAATACGTTGGTTTTTCTGTTTCTCTGTTGCCCCTGCTTTAAGGTGTTTAGCATGTGGCCTCCCTCCCTGGTGACAGCACAGTCCCAAAGCCCAGTAATAGATTTTAAAGAGATCTGACTCAGGTACAAGCTTAGCTGGACTGGCCCATTATCTGAAATCTGTGTGTGACCTTCCCAACTGATACTGCCAATACTTGTGTCTGTTTCAACTTCAGATTCCCGTTCAGTATACTCACCCTTTAAGTTACCCTACTATTAGTATCCTGACCTCCCAGAAAGAGGGCTAGAGTTTTATTTTGTTAAAGTAAAATCAGTATTCCCCAGTGCTCTGTATTTTACAAAATGCATTCACACATGACTACTTTGATCCTCAGAATGATTCTGGGAGTTACATAAGTTTATCTCCATTTTGCAGATGAGGCCCAGAGAGGCGAAGCCATTTGAGCTCGTGAGTGACAGATCTCAAGCCCTGCTCTTTCTAAAGCGTGCTGCCTTCAGAAAAGAGCCAGAAGGATGAAAATTACTTTAGAAAGATGAATACCAGCTTTGAAGGAATAAAAGCTGACGAGGAATTGAAGGAGTTGAGGCGCAAGCTTGAACTGGGTTGCGTGTTTGGCCCTTGATTGTAAAGGCCCATTGTTGCACCTGTTCCTGTTACTTGAGGAGTTGCAGCAGAAGGAACAGCGGCCTGAGACTCTAGAGAGCTGGGGAACACGTTCCTTCTCATCCCTCCAGGGCCACCACTTCTTGTGGGCCCTTGGGCAAGTCACTGTACTTTCTGAGTCTCAGTTTCCCCATTTGCAGAATGGAAATAACTATCCCAGTCTACCAACTTAGAATTGCTTTGAGGATCTGATAAGGTGGTGTAGATGCTGCTGCCTTGGGGGCTTTAAAGTCTGGAGCTCAAGCGACCCCTTGAGTTGGGCTTACTTAGTAACTCCAGGGTTGGGCAGAACAGGACTCCAATGAGGGTTCTTTTCTTTTTCCCTTTTTTTTCTTTCCCTATCTCTTAACTTTTATCTTTATTATTTTACAATGCCCTTGTAAGATGAAACAAGTGTTGCTGAATTTTTTTTTTCTTTTTTAACCTTTATTTTAGGATTGGGGTACATGTGCAAGTTTGTTACATAGGTATATTGTGGGCTGCTGAGGTTTGGAGTACGAATGAATTAGTCATCCCAGTGGTGAGCATAGTCCCCGATAAGTAGTATTTTTCAGCCCTTACTTCCGTCCCTCTCCATTCTTGTATTCCCCAGTGTCTGCTGTTCCCGTTTTTATGACCCTGTGTACTCAATGTTTAGCTCCCACTTAGAAGTAACAACATGCCCAGCACTTTGGGGGTCCGAGGTGGGTGGATCACGAGGTCAAGAGATCGAGACCATCCTGACTAAGACAGTGAAACCCTGTCTCTACTAAGAACACAAAAAATTAGCCAGGCGTGGTGGTGGGCACCTGTAGTCCCAGCTACTTGGAAGACTGAGGCAGGAGAATCACTTGAACCAGGGAGGTGGAGGTTGCAGTGAGCTGAGATTGCGCTACTGCACTCCAGCCTGGGCAGCAGAGCAAGACTCCGTCTCAAAACAACAACAACAACAAAAAAAAAAAAAAAGTGATGCATGATTTTGTTTTCTGTTTCTATGTTAATCCACTTAGGATAATGGCCTCCAGCTGCATCCACGTTGCTACAAAAGACAGGATTGCATTCTTTTATATGGCTGCCTAATATTCCATGGTATATATGTACCATATTGTCTTTATCCAATCCACTGTTGATCCACACCTGGGTTGATTCCATGTCTATGCTATTGTGAATAGCACTGCAATGAACATATGGGTGCGTGTGTCTTTGTGGTAGAATGATTTCTTTTCCTTTGAGTATAATATATCCAGTATTGGGATGGTGCTGAAATACTTAAAGTAGAAATGAAAATTGTCACGTGCTCCACCATGCCCTTCCATTCTCCTCTGCAGAGAGACAGCCACTGTTTGTGGTTTAGTACACCTGGTTCCAGGCTTTACATAAACTAAACCCATGCATATTTCTCTGTGTATACTTTTTCAGTACATGTACACGTGCACTTGTTCATACAGTTTGTTCTTTAAATTTTATAAAAATGTCCTCTATACTGCATCTCGACTTATCCCCCTCATAATTTTAAGACCTTGCTATATCAGAGCTACTTTTCTATTCTAGAAAGACATGGCCAGGCACGGTCTCACGCCTGTAATCCCAGCACTCTGGGAGGCTGAGGCGGGTGGATCACCTGAGGTCAGGAGTTCAACACCAGCCTGGCCAACATGGTGAAATCCTGTCTCTACTAAAAATACAAAAATTAGCCGGGCATGGTGGCGCACGCTTGTAATCCTAACTATTCAGGAGGCTGAGGCAGGAGAATCGCTTGAACCCGGAAGGCGGAGTTTGCAGTGAGCCGAGATCTTGCCATTGCACTCCAGCCTGGGCAACAAGAGCGAAACTCCATCTCAGAAGAAAAAAAAAAAAAAAGACATAGAAACTCTTCTCACTATCTGGGCATTTTACAGGTATATATATTTAATGTATTAATTTGGGTTATTACCAATTTTTATTATTTTATTTATTTATTTATTTTGAGACAGAGTCTCACTGTCACTCAGGCTGGAATACAGTGGTGC